AGTAGGTAGTCCAAGAAGTGAAAGGCCAAAGAGGAGGGAGGCTGACTAGGTAAACTGTTGAGGGCTTTGAACATCAGATTGAGGGGTTTTATCTTCTTCCTTAGACCTGAGGCCTCCTGATACTGTTGATCTCTCCCTGTCTGAATGAATATTCTTCTTTTTATTTTTTAGGGAAGGGTCTACAGGGTGTTCAGAATCTCACTACTAGATTGGAATCGTAGTGATCTGCCTGTTTACAGCCTCCCAAGAGCTGGGATTATAGGCATGCGCCACCACGCCCAGTCTCAATCACAGACTCAGTGTGCCCCCTAGACGGAGCCGACAGGCCTGGGGATTGAATCCCCGGCCCCTGCGCTTGCTTGCAGGCACTTTAATCCACTGAGCTATTTGGCCGGCCCTGAATGAATATTCTTTACAGTTGCACTGAATGTATTTACAAACAGAAATTCAGGTAGATAAGGATGGATAATTATTAAAGCTAATCCTAATTTTATCCTGTTCCCCCAGAAGCTCACGTGCACATGTCCCCCATTGGAGGTCACTGGCTCAGATGACAGGATGGCTTTGAAGGGCATTGCTCCCGAGTTAGGTTCACAGTGGCGTAGGAGGAAATCTAAGCTGGTGGAGACTACCAGGCAGGACCTAGCTTTCTCTGTGGTTTGGTTACTGAGGGAATATATTATTCAAACATGAACTCACCTGGATCCCTCCTCATTTTCCACATCTCTCTCCTTTCCCAGCTGTTGAGGACTGCAGTACTCACTGCATTGTTCCATCCACAAAACAAATTGCAGATCTGTAGACCCGCAGCACTTCAAATAAAGGAAAATCATGTCTTATTCTGTCAAAGCTTTTTCTTGATCCAGCCTGAAAAAATATCCGGTTTATCTTCCTCTTTCACCATGTGCTATAATTTCTCTCTTCACCCAAATCTTGATAGCTCCCTTTCTCCGACGACTTGCGTCGAAACCTTGTGAATCACCGGATGGGCCAATACTCCTGCCCTGTGTAGGAGAATGTCTGATAATGTTGTGTAATACACATTTGGCAGTGTGAATACGCACAGCTGTTGAATGTTCATTCTCGCAGCAGGCTTAAGAACACAATTGCCAGCCCGTTCGGAAGTCGTATTTGGGTTGTCTGATCCTTTTGTCAGTAGGCGTGGATTGGCATGTGGGCATCTGTTTTCAGCTGACCATGGGGAGAAGGTCAGCTTACTCACTTGCTCCACTGCTACCTTTTAGAGTATGTGCCCATTTCTTTTCACCTGCTGATGCCAGGAACCCGGATTTATCTAATTATTCAGACTTCTGGGGGCAGAGACTTGATAATGCTGGCAATCAAGGCGGAGGCTTGCTGTGACTCTGGGGACTGAGGGAAGCAAGTGAAGGTCCTGGGACAAAAATTAAGGAGGCGCTCACTCTTAGGCTCACCTGATCATGGGCTGTGCTGACACCTCCTTCCGTTTTGCCTCATAGACACCATCCTTGCCTACCTGGTCCATCGTGCCCCAACCCCTTTGCTCCTTAAGACTGAAACTTAGTGCCCAGGACTGAGCTTGGAAAATATGAAGAGATGTGTTATTTTGGGCAGGGTTCAAACTGAATCCCATCTAATCTCAGCAGATGCCCAAACCTGAGCTTTTCCCATTAGGCGAGACGGGCTGGGCTCAGATGGGCCTCGGGTGCAGTCAGTACTAATTCAAAACTTTAAACTTTGGCAGAGGGTAGGAAAACTCTAGAGCGGAGGTTAGGAGAGCAAGAATAACTCACAGCCTTGGCATATCCACACAGCACCACGATGGTGCCCCCCTGGCCATGCTGAGCTTTCAGGTCATGAGCCCATGTTCGACTGGTTTAAGAAGCCCCAGCCCTCTGAGCTCCAGCCCATGGGCTGTCTATTACCTACTTAAGCGTATCCTCAAACCAGTGGCTGGGCTTCCTCTGTGAGTCTGGCGTATTCGCCATTTCTAACTTGCTGGCAGCAGTGTTCTGTGCGTAATTCCATTCACTCTTCCAAGTCCTTCAGCCATGAGCAGCACCTAATGAAATCCTTCAACTCGCATGCTTCTAACCTTTGAGTAAACTTGGACTATGGACCAAAGGTTATCAAAATAGCTTGAATGGATGGGTTAAATGGCCCTCCTTGGTCCACAAGACTTCATTAAAAAAAAAAATGGAAGCAACGAGTTTGTTTTTCAGATTTTTAAAATGGTAACAAGCTGGAAATAATTGAAAAGTCCAAAATAGGGACCTGGCTAAGTCAATTAGAGTACCTCAACTTAAAGGAATGTTCTGCAGCAATTAAAATAAGTAAGAAAAAACCTTATGAAAATATTTTTATAATATCATGTTATAAAGCTTGACTATAGAATCACAGTTCCGTATGGGAAGCTGGTGTGCTCACAGACAGAAAAGCACGCCTATATAAGATCAGTTGTTTTGGGGTGGCGAGCTGAGCATGACTCCCCATTTAAATACACTTTTAATGATGTTATTTACATAATGATTATAGAATGAATTTTTTTGGTGCTTGAAAATTCCTAAGCAGGGGCCAGGGAGATGGCTCAGTCGAATAAGTGCTTCCCTGGCAAGCGAATGGGCCTGAGTTCAATCCCTGGTTCTGCAAAAAAAAAAAAAGAAAAAAAATCTTAAGCTCTTATAAGAAGTGAAGATGGTCTGATAAAGGCCAGAGATTTGTTGTCCAGCGCATGAGCAGGCCCACTCTGCGGGCATAGAGGCTCTCCGTTCAGCCTGTCTCCGTGGAGACCTGAGCCTTGCCACTTTCTAGCTGTTTCCCTTTTTTTTTTTCCCTAACGTATTTTGGTACAGGGTCTCAATATGCAGCTCAGACTCATAGTGATCCTCCTGCTGTCAGCCACCCCAGCACTAGGATTACAGACATGCACCACCATGCCCGGTCTCAGTGGCCGGCTCAGCATGCCCAAGGGCAGGGCCGGCATGGCATGTGATGCCAAGGATCAAATCCCAGTCCTTATGCTTGCCTAAGCAGGTGCTTAGTCCCTGAGCTATCTCACCAGCCCTTAGCCATTTCCTCTTGAGAGTATTCTCACCTCATCTATCAAGAGGAGATCAGAGGGACAACAGGGAGTGGGGATGTAACCCAATGGTACAGCATTTGCCTAGCATGCATGGAGCCATGGGTTCAATTCCCCACACTGAAAACAAAAACAAAACCAACAACAAAAGAATATCTATTTTCTAGGTTCTTGTAAGTCTGAGTCATATGTCTGGAGTACTTAGACAACCTCCTGGCCCAGTGCGGAACACTCAGTAAATATTAGTTCTTGTGATTATATTGTGGATCAGCCACCTGCCCTGAGCTATAACAGCCTGGGCAAAAACACTGAAGTCATAGGAATCTCTGGCTCGACAGTGACTTCATTTTCAAGGGTCTCCAGTAACATTATCCAAGAGGCTTGAGGGGTAGCTGGCAAGCCAGAGGCTTTCTCTGCCTCAGCTGGCTGGCAAAAAGGAGGCTCTGCTGGCCCACTCGAGGCCCACTGGCTGCAGTGCGAGGCTAGTTACCCCGCCCAAGGACACAGAGGCGCCTGCTGCCACAGCTGCAGGGCTGGCAGCCGAGGTGGCTGCTACCGCAGATGCCACAGCTGGCTTGGTCTCCTGTGAATGCCCGAAGTCACATGCCAGCTGCCAGTGCCAATCCCCTCTAGGTCCTGCCACTGTGTCTTGGGTGAGAAAGCATCTTTGACTTTCATATGCACGCAGCCCACCGCACTCATTCCACTGGGACGTTGAGTTGCTCTTCAGACTGTCCCCCCTCTCTGCCCCCGAAACGTGTCCGCTCGGAAGCTGCATAACCAGCTCTCCCCTCTTCCCCGGGAGACCCCACAGGCTCCCTGCTATAGCCTAGGTTTGTCAGAGGGACAGGCCCAGACCTGACAGAATGCTCGTGTGAGGGCAGTTCTGCTCCACTGGGACCATGCGGCACACAGCCAGTGTGACAGCCAACCTGGAAAGAACATTTTGATGCAGGAATGGGGACCAGATTCCCAGACAGCCACAGGCAGGGATGGCCGAGAGGAGGGATGGTGGATGCCTGAGGCTATTGCTGACTGGACCCTGAAGGTGGAAAAGGGAGGAGGAGGGGAACAGCTGCTGCAAAGGCAGAAGGAAGGTCCTCAGCAAATGCTATAAAAAGAAAGAAAGAAAACCTGAAACTTGTTTGCTCCAAACAGCTTCTACCTCCCCGGAGCATCTTTACCACTGATCTCTGTGTCCGCCATTCTTTTCTGGTTTCTAATTTCTACATAAGAGGGTGTTTGAGGTTGGGTGCTGGGGCAGTTCATAAATGTGACGGAGTTACTCCTCTTACCCTAGAGACAGAACTATTGTCTCAAATGATGCTTCCTTCCCCCGACCCACGTAAGATGAGAAACAGGGATAGTGTTCATTAATAAAGGGTGGAGGGGGGGGACCCTGGTTGTTGTACAAAGGGAAGAAGATGCAAAGTAAAATGCCCTGGTGGAAATAAAGTGCTCAACCAGTCCTGTATCCATTAAAGTAATAACATCATTGCGTGGCAGGTTTATCACTCCCTTGCAGTTCCTCAGTGTGGGAGCCGGGGCTCTTTTTAAAAATGAGAGCAGGGTTGTGTGCTGCTGCTCCAGTGTGGAAGGACAGGTCCCCCCCCACCCCGAATGCTCCTCCGACCCCCCCCCACCAACAACCTTGGACTTCTCCCAGCCTCTAGAACCATCACTAAAATTCATTTCACTCTTTAATTAGATTTCATGGAGTAAGAGATTGGGAGGGGTGCTAGGAAAAGGCACTCATATGCCCTCTTTCCGCAGAGAGGGGTAATGCTGTTGATAGGGGAGGTGGGACAATGGTTGCTATGGAGACATATTCCCAGACATACAGACTCACACTCATTTTAATCTCTCTCTCTCTCTCTCTCTCTCTCTCTCTCTCTCTCTCTCTCTCCCTCCCTCCCTCCCTCCCTCTTCTCCGGCAGGGGAAGGATCCAGTGCCCTATTTTTAGTGTCAGATTTCAGCAAAACAATTCACTTTCATTTCATCACACACACACACTGCTGGGTTTTAAAGTAGGTCACATCTTCTAACTGTATCAAGAGCTCAGATCTGTCTTGCTTGAGTAATGGAAGGTTCCACGGAAGAATTTACAGACTGAGACGAAGATCTCAGACTTGGTTTGGAGCAGCTTTCTTTCATCTTGGTTTGACAGGCATTAGAATAGGCAGAATGAATAGCTGGAGGTAAATTTACATTTTAAAGACTAATGTAAAACATCGAGACCCTGCTAATGGTAAGGGGAGGTAGAGAAATTAAAAATGACAAACTCATCTGTTATTTCTGTTATCAGATTATCACTGATTATTATGAAAAATGTTCCTTGAGCACCAACACTGTACAGCCCATTGGGAAAGACATAAGCGCTGGCTAGTAGTGATTCAGTTTAAATTTCTTATCTTTCTCAGATTATATGGATTAGAATTGGGGGTTTTATTCATGTCCCATCTCAAATTGCAATTTTCGGGTGTTTCTGTCTGTATTGCTTGCTTTGTGGTCTTTGCCAAATCTCAAGTCTTCTGGGACTAGAATACCCCATTGACTGGAACAAGCTCTAGAAGTTCTCTTGACAGAAATAGCCCAAGGCAAGTCTGCAAATTGGAAGCCTCAAACTCACACACACCCTGGATCTTCCCAGCTCTTCCTCTCCCACAAAAGCCAGTTGTTTCTTCCAAGATAGTAGCAAATTTAAGCTACTTGAGGAACAGACAATCTTTTTTGTTTATTTACCTCTTATTTCAGTAGGAGATATTAGATTCAGGGCTTCGTGCATGCTAGACAATTGCTTTACCACTGAGCTGCATCTTAAGACCTCTAAAATTATTATTATTTTTTTTAGTTTTTGATATAAGATCTGTCTAAGCTGTCAGGCTAACTTGATCTTGTGATCTTTCTGCCTCAGCCTTTCATGTAACTGGGATTAAAGATATGTGCCACCACACTAGGTGAGGAAGGGCTAGTCTCTCCCTTGAAGCTAATGCCTTTTTCTTTTATTTTATAAAGAGAATACAAATTAAAATTAAAACAGAAAATGGGTCAACTAGATAGCTCAGCAGATTAAAGTGCCTGCTTAAGCAGGTGCAGGGGTTGGGGGTTCAATCCCCAGGCCTGACACGCAGGGCCTGCCCCCATGGCATACTGAGATGGCGATTGAGACTGGGCTTGGTGGCAGGCACCTGTAATCCCAGTGCTTAGGAGGCTGTAAACTGGAGGATCACTACAAGTCTGAACTACATAGTGAGAGCCTGAAGACCCTGTAGACCTTGTATGAAATACATAAAAATAAATAAATAAAACAAAAAAATTACAAGCAATACAGGATTTCACTTAACAAAGTAATATGAATTTCACAGTATTTGCTATAACAGTCTTGTCTTCCAACCAGTTATTCATGTTACCAGATATATGCATGTAAAATTGGAAGAAGAAAGAA